GTGTGTGTGTGGTGAAAGAGAGAGAGTATGAACTGGTGTGTGAGCGAGTGAATCAGACTATTCCCAGCCAGGGTTACGTAACAATGCTCATTAACTTGTTTGGACCAATCACACGTCAGAACAAATCAGGTCAGTGTGTTTGTGGCTCTGATCATCAGTCACGTAAATCCAGATTAAGATCAGAGAAAATCCTGCAGCTAAAAATACTGACACCAGGGGGAGTAACCCTGCAAATACTATGGAAGCTATCCTATGGACATGTGACAGGTTTTGTACTTGTACATGCATCATTTATTTGTATTAGTTGTATTTGTACTCAAGGTTGTGTATAGATTAACTCTTTCAGGACATGTGATGAGTTAATGAATAAATATGATCAGAACAAAAATCTGCTGCAGTGACTCGGTGACAAAACATTTGACATCTTTACATTTTAAAGGTTCTAACTCAATAATGTTTCAGTGAATAATTATCATTAAAATCATATCGATGTTATAATGTATGGCATGAATACTTTAACTTTGAGAGTACATTTAATTCCTGATTAAACATCTGTACTTGAAATGAAGTAATAAAGTACTCTTCCTAAGGAAGTATCGCCTCACCTCGGTCATGTTTGAAGTGCAATGCAGCTGTATGTCCAGCAGAGGTCACATTGTCATGTTGTTTGAGCTGCAGCTCTGTGCTGCCCCCTGTGGATGGTTGTGTGTGTCCCTTTAAGAACTGATGAAGTTGAGTATTCATCCCGCTGTAACACCCCCCCCCCCCCCCCCCCCCCCCCCCCCGACCATCTGGGGGGGGCTGTGGGACAGTGAGGGCCTTGTCACCATGTTGAGGCCTGATGAAGTGTCTCCTAGCAACCAACACAGTCCATTCAGTCCGAAGGGAAGCGTCCAACTAACAACAGATAAGCAGCTGAGAAAAGGGGGGGGGGGGATTCACCACAGCGATCTGATCCATTAACCACATGACTGATGACATCACACGGATCCTCTGTCTGACATGTTCCTGAAATGTTCTGGAGTTTCTGTTTGTGAGAACAACACAAATATCTCAGGATGAAGAAACTGTGGAGGCTCGTTGATACGGCTCCGCCCCCTCCGACATCCTGAGACAAAACTGCCTGTAAAAAAATGTTAAGGTTTCCCCCATGAAAGTTCGCTCATTATCTCCTCACCACTGTGATGACTTGTTGTCATATATGTGACCAATTCTTCAAACGTAAGAAAACAGCATGCCTCCATTGTGCTCCTGTGGTGTCATCCACGTGTGCGTGAGCCCCATCATTCATATTCGCCTCATTTACAACAAGTTTGAAGCCTAAATGTCCTCCAGCAGAAGTAGTGATGCTACAGCAACAAGCTATGCTACCGCACATCCATTGCATACCCTTGGGCGAGAGCTTGTGTACAGTGTGTGTGTGTGAACGCGGCTCCAGAGGAAGATATCACAGGATATGTAGGCTCCGGTCGTAACACATGTTCTAGATTTCAGTTTATTTGTGATCCTTGCATTACATTATTCTTTCTTCTTCTTTTCCAGAAGGCGTACAGCGTCGGCCACGAGCCTCCTCCCAAGCAGCAGTGTGTGAAAAATGGAAAGCACCCAGACGGCAGAGGTAAGTTTGTACCTCTCACGCTACCGTCCAGCCCGGAGGGGTGTGGCGCCCCGTGAGAGGCTGAGTTGAAGGTTTATCATTCCATCAGCTGCTTCCTGAGACACGACATGATCGACTGATGTCTGATCTGGGTACAACATGAAGATAATAATTAATTCACAGTAAAAATTAATTACTGTTTGAAACTGTAAATAAAGTCTGACGAACAACAACAGGAGGAAATGACACATGATTGCTGTGTTATCTGAGTCACAACAAAAGAAGGTTTCATTCACTCACGGTTGAAATATGAACTTAGTGAAGGTTCGAGGTTCATGGTTACCGTGACAACAGGTGGTTAATGTTATTGAAGAAAAGGACACTTCCCTCCACCTCAACATCGGACGATCATTATGACTGTGGCCACTAGAGGTCGCTTACAAGTCCAAGCTACGGGTGGTAATGAACTGCTGCAGAGATGAGATGTTTGCGTTCCTTAAAAACAACCGAACACTGACCATTACAAACATGGTGCATTGTGCGGCTCCAGTGGTCTGGGGCCCCTGGACAGTTTCCTGCTGAGTGTGTGTGTGGTGAACTGTTACAAATCTGTGAAGCAGCAGGTCGACACCAGACGTCACAAGAGATGAAGATGAAGCAGCGTGGGAAAATACTGAGGGTGTTTTACACTGAGCGAGAGGAGGAGAAGAGAAGAAGTGAGAAGAGGAGGAGGAGTGAGAAGAGGAGGAGGAGGAGTTCTGCTGCAGCTCTTATAGAGAACATGAGGACTCTCGCAGACTGAAACACATGAGGATCATCAGAACTGGACCAGAACCAGATCAGATGGGTGAGAGGAGCAGCAGCACAGCTCAGGAGAAGCTGGTGAAGTCTGGTAAGAACCAGAGTCTGATTCTGGTTCCTCTGAAACTTCAGTTTCCATTGTGCTTGTTTATAATGTTGTGTGTCTGTTTTGTGACATGTGTGATCTCATTGTCCGAGGATGTGAGTGAACATTCTGAACTGAATCAGTTTGTTTTCATGAACAATGTATAAAATGATAGAGAGTGAAAGTAAGACTGTGTAACAGTACTCTACAAGTACAAGTACAAGTACTGCATTTTAATCTAAAGCTGTTTTCAGACCTAAAAGACACACATGTCTGAGTCAGTGTCTCTGGACATGTTCTGCAGCCTCTAGTTAAACATCTGTAAAATGTCAGAGTGAGTCCATGAGAGAAAACATCTGGAACCTTCTCGGTGAGCGAGTGGACGTGTCTCTGAGGTTTCTAACACGTGACGGACGTGAGACTGAAGAACACAAATCTCTCAGGATGAAGAAGAGGAGCCGTACACGTACAAGACGAAGACGTCCACTTGGAAAGACGAGGAGGTTCCAGATGTTTCGGTGATGAGATGTGATATAAAAACCCTTGTTCAGGGCAAAGAGGTTTCTGCTGCAGTAGATTTGATGTGTTTCAGTAACTTGATGTTTCGTTTCCTCAGGATCAAGTAAAGATTTACTGGGAAACGTGATCTGACTTCCTGTCGGAGCTGGAGTCAGACACTCTGACATCAGATTATTATCAGAGGTTCAGGTTCAACGTCCTGTTTCAGATCAATATGAAACCACACGATGGCTCAAAGTCCGAGCTCTGATCAGACATCACCTCACACATGTTTTTAAATCATCATTTTGAATCTTCAGAGCAGCTTTCACCTTCACTGGTCAATCATTTTATTGATCAGTGATATGAACTCCTCCGTTTACATCACTCCCTCCACATACTGTTTATAGAAATGGCCTCTGAAACATGTCTTCTGTGTAATGACCAGCAGAGGGAGACTCCTCTGGTAGTTTCTGTAGAAAACGTCTCTTCTCACTTTCTAACGTCAGTAAACTTTGTCTCAGTCTCAAGTCGTCTTCAAACAGCTGATGTTCATTTATCAATTAAAATCATTTAGAGTCAAACGGACCAGAAAGAACTGGATGTGATTGGGGGGATAAGACAGTGTGATTGACAGCTGGTACTGTCCAATGGGAGCAGGTGGGCGTGCAGTATCCACAAGGTCTCAGTCAGGCTCCACCCCCTGCTCCTCCAGATGTCAAACTGTTGCTTCAGAACCGAAACTCACAAACCAACCGGTGACGTCACGGTGACGGTTGATACTTGTTCGCACCTGCAGGCCCCTCCCCCAAAGAGGAGACACTCGGGAGCTGTGATTCATGAACCAACGTCAAAACAGATCAGATCTAAACCGTATGATCAGCTGTTCTCTGTGATGACCCGCGCTGTTACATCATCAGTGACCGGAGCCAATCCCTGCCACTGGTTCAACACGTGTCATGACAACATTTCTGCAAACTGTCGTCCATGTCCAATCTCTGTGTCTGTGAAGTCAATGAGACAAACATCCAGAGCTCTTTAGATTTTTCTGAAGCCCTGTGGGCACCATGGACTCCTTGGACACCGCTCTCTGGTTTCATGTTGGACGTCTTGTCTATGACGACTTGGATCAGATGCTTGTTCGAACAGGAAACACAAACACTACATTCTGTCCAACAACATGATGTCCTCAAGTCACAATCCATGTCCAAGCCCTTGCCTGCACCCCCCACCACCTGCACTGTCGGTTTTTCACTGCACCATCGTTCTCCAGAACCGGTTTAAATAAAGTTTCATGTTTTGCAGATTTAATCCCAGAGTTGTGGTCATCCTGTCCTTTTTGTCCTCTGTCTGTAGCCTCAGCGTACGCAGACCTGCAGCAGCACCGATCCGATGGTATCCACAGGAAGTCGTCCCCTGCGTCTGGCTTTGTCCCCCAGCCTGACTACCAGGAAGGAGACGAGAACGACGACCTCATCAAGCCCAAGAAACTTTTGAATCCTGTGAAAGCCTCACGAAGTCACCAGGATCTTCACCGAGAGCTGCTGAGCAGCTGCAAGAGGTACGTCTCCATGTGGGGACACAGACACCACCGTTAAACTGAAGACATTTGTAGGACGCTTTTGAAAACGTAATAATTTTTGTGGAAGATGAAAATGTTGATTTAGAGGTCGAGCCATTTTTAGCTATTGTGGAAATTTCAGACAACTACAAACAATTGAGCGAAGTGGGGACACGACACCAGAATTTAATTTGTTATAGATCCAGTGTTTAGATTCATGAGACATGATGTCAGTGTTTAATCATGTGACTCTGTGGTCTTATCAGGCTCCTCCTCCTCCATAGTCCGCCATGTTCCTACGTGAGCCCAGAGTGGATGTTTGTTTTGATGTCCTCTGAAGGCCACCGTAGATTCCGTAGAGTTGGTCACAATCTGCACGTGACTTGAATCTGCTGCCCCCTGCTGACACGAACACATAAGGACTGAATTAAATCCAGATTATTGTTCGTCAATGATTTAATTGTGTTATTAGTTTCCAGTCTCACGTCAGCTGACCAAACAAAGAGCAGCACCTCGCATGAGAACGATCCGTCGTCTCTGCTCCTCTGTGAAGTTGTTAAAGAAATGAACGGACGTTGCTAAGCAACAGCCTCCCACCACACAGGCCTCCACCGCTGAGGACGCTGGGAAAGTTTTCACCTCCTCACAGATTTAAAACGGCGTTAAGAGCGAGGTCGACTTTTCTCTGTGGTTTTAACATTCAGGAAGGAAACTGAGGC